CTGTCTCCCACCCCATTCTCATGAAAAAGTTAGGTGACTATGGCACTGATGCCTACATAGTCAGATGGGTCGCAAATTGGCTGAGGGACCACACCCAGACAGTGGTGGTGGATGGGTCATATTCGACCTGGAGGGACGTGGGCAGTGGGGTCCCCCAAGTCTTGGTCCTTGGGCCCGCACCGTTTAATCTCTTTATTAGTGACTTGGATGAGGGGGTGAAAAGCACCTTGTTCAAATTTGCTGATGACACCAACATCTGGGGAGAGGTGGGCACGCTAGAAGGAAGGGACAGGATACAGCTGGACCTGGACAGGTTACAGGGGTGGGCGAATGAGAATAAGATGGGATTCAATACTGACAAGTGCAGGGTACTGCACTTGGGCAGTAAGAACCAGCAGCGTACTTATAGGTTGGGGAACTCCCTTCTCGAAAGCACAGTGGCAGTAAGAGATCTTGGAGTCATTATAGATTTCAAAATGAACATGGGCCACCAATGTGAGGACGCAGTCAATAAGGCCAACCGCACCTTGTGATGCATCCATAGATGCATCACAAGCAGGGCCAAGGAGGTGATCCTCCCCCTCTATGCAACACTGGTCAGGCCACAGTTGGAGTACTGCATCCAGTTCTGGGTGCTGCACTTTAGGAGAGATGTGGCCAGCGTCGAAAGGGTCCAGAGGAGGACCACTCGCATGATCCGGGGACAGCAGGGCAGACTCTATGAGGAGAGGCTATGGGACTTGAACCTGTTCAGCCCTCAAAAGAGAAGGCTGAGAGGGGATCTAGTGGCAGTCTACAAACTTACCAGGGGGGACCAGTGGGGAATAGGAGAGACCCTGTTAACCCGTGCACCTCCTGGAGTAACAAGGAATAACGGCCATAAGTTGTTTGACAGTAGGTTCAGGCTGGACATTAGAAGACTCTGTTTCACAGTCAGGGCAGCTAAGATCTGGAACCAACTTCCAAGGGAAGTAGTGCTGGCTCCTACCTTGGGGGTCTTTAAGAGGAGGCTTGGCCTAGCTAGGGTCATTTGAGCCCAGTATTCTCTCCTGCCCAGGGCAGGGAGTTGGACTTGATGATCTACTTAGGTCCCTTCCAACCCTATGTCTATGAATCTATGACTTCACAAGTATCTGCTTCAATTAGCTTTGGTAACTAAAATAACTAAATCATCAGTTTTCTGCTATAGCTACAAAATTAATCTGAGCAATATCAAAACATTGCTTTAAAATGTATAGCATGTGCCTTCTAAAAATGAAACCTACATCTATCTCTGAGTTGTGAATAATACATATTAAGGTTATAACAAACAGGAATGCACTTTTTGTAGAAAACAATTATTAAATTGAGGCCTCCTGACCAGTGATCTAAATCATAATTTAAATTTATTTGATTAAATCAAATTCACCCTGTGAAAAAGAAAGTGAGATGCCTAAATAGCCCCTTTATTATTTAATATTATACACACCCCTAGGGACCCCATTGTAGCTGGAGGTACCCCTGACCTGAAAACATTTTATAGACAGCAGAGGCAGGGAGAGGAAGGGGAAATTGTCACAGAGTAGTGAGGTGCAGTGGTCAAAAAGTCACTGAGCAGGTCAGTCACCGGGCCAGGAATAGTAGAGATGTGATGAGATTCTGGCCTAGTGGGCTGGGCAGTGGTTTAACTGCCTTGCTGCACAATTTATAGCTCTAACTTCAGACTCCCATTTTTTCATATGGTGTCTCTAAAAAAAATCTAAAACTGTGCTCAGAAAAAATAATCATCATCATTTAGGGAAACAGTCTTGAGACCCACAGCAAACATGGCTGTAGCTGGTATAGACAGGATTTTTGTCTCTCTAGATACAGGTCCTGTGATAAATATAAAAGCTTTGTTTATAACATCATAATTTTTGACTGAGGTAATAAATAGCTGGAACACTAGAAATGTAACTGCATACAAAAAGAGGCATCCAGGGCCCAATTCTCCGTAGCCCTAAACCTCATATAGCCACTGCAAAGAGAATTCAACATTTTCCCATGTAGGAAAGAAAACATTGTAGAGTTTCCTTCAACAGTTATGAATGAGGACACAATGCATAGGCAAGGCTGAATCAAGCTAACAGAGGACTTTTTCATTTGATGTGTTCTCATAAACGTATTCTTTGTTTTGCTGCATAGTAGCAGTGATTCTCTTTTTTGTGCAGATGAAACATAAAACTACCACCTTATGTTTTTTACCACATTTAGATCATGTGCAACAGATGCAATGAGAGAGGTAGAAACATTTTTTAAGTAAAATGCACTCTTTTAAGAGTCATACAGGTAGGGGAACAATTGAAAAAAAAACTAGCTTAAGCAACTTGTCAACTGGACATACAGAAGAAAAATAGTTTGACATGGTTATTTAATTCCAAGTAACCTTTCCCTAGGCTCCAGAAAACCAAACACACCAACCAATGAAAAAGAAACAATAAAAAAATACTTATGATAACTCCACATATTTAGCCAACAGTTTTGGTAATGCTAGATGCATTTGGTGTCATTGTATTCATACAGGAAAATGAAGCAATAGAAATAGCATGTTCATATTCCACCCTTTCGAAACAAGTATTTGCAACATCACTTCTTATTCACAGAATATCAATGCTGTGCGTGTCTACATGAGACGCTTATTGCTCATTAGCTTAATAACACTGTGCAGTAGCACGTCACAGCAAAAACTGTGCTGGCAGCCTACTGTGCAGTGTTATTAGGTTAATGCACAGTAAACGTCAATAAATAATCATGCGCCGGCACTACTGCGCAGTAACTCTAGGTCCTGTGCATTTAGTTAGTACATTATTAAGCAGATACTAAACTAAATGCGCAGTATCTAAGGCACATTAATAAATGGGTAGATGCACCCACAGTTCACCTGTTCTTCCCCTTTACTAATTCATTGTTTTTCTGTACACAGATCAGACCTCAAAATGCCATCCAAACAAAGAAAGCACCAGAACTAAACAGCAAGTTTTGTAACTGGGTGTGCAGTACCACAAGCATTTTCCAGTGTTTACCATTAGAGGGGAGCCTACATAAAGCTAATGCAAAACTTCATACTTACTGTAAAAGTGGAGCCTTCCTAAATGTTGGTGTTTGATGAGAATCACAAGATTAGAATGGCCTTAAAATATTACAACAGATTTAATGTACATTACTTTCCTTTTATTCTTATTGCTGGTCTAACAATTGATTTATAGCTATTTCTTTTTCATACTTTCATACAATGAGAGGATTGTTGCCCAGTCAAAATTTCTACTGATGTCAGTGAATTTTGCCTCTGTAAGATTGGCTGGGTTGGGTCCAGTTTTAGCACATATATTGAGGTGCACAGTTTAAATTAAACTAGCAATGATATTCCTAATTATCACACTATACAGTTAAAGTGTTTCTAAGAGCAGTTAAAGGCTAGATCCTGATACCTTTCCTCAAAATTGTTCTTACTTAACAAGTAACCCTACTGCCAACCCTACTGCCTTAAATTAGATTATTTAGGTAGTAAAGTAGAACTCCACATGAAGAAAAGGGTAAAAACCTGACAGAGGTCTTCAGGTACTCTAAGCTGTCAGTTGAACTATGGACAGTTTATACCAGCTGAGGTTTGTTCCCCTTAAATGATAGCTAGCTCACCTAAAACTCACACTATACATGTTGCAGCATGGAACTCAGTGCAAACTAGCAACTGAGTAATTTCCCATCATTGCCAATGGGTTTTGCAGCCTGTTCAGAGCTCTGTGGAAACCTGGAAATTATCCACCAGGTTAAAGCTTTGGTATGTGTCTAGTTATACTTAGACTGCAATGTGGACATACCCCTGGTTTCCCCTATGTGGTATAGAGATTATAAATAAGAGTTGACACACTTGTGATAACAAATATAAGAGGAAGTATGCTCCTACAGTGATTTAGAAAACCAGCTAATACTTAGTTATTTCATACAGACTGATAAAGTTATATTCCTGCATGCTAACCATGTGTATTGAAAGCATCACTTTCCAATAATGACCTAGTTGTCTCCTTTGGACTAGAATTTCTAGTCCCACTCACCTTTATACTTCAAATTCAAGTAGTATGAATTTGAACTTCTGAAGATAATGCATTCCCCAATAATATTTCACTCCATTAAAATAAAATAGTTAAGCAGACCAGTAAAATAGACAAAGTAGATTTTGCAAAATATAACTAAAAATAATAAGCAGTGATCATATTTTGCATGCCACTTTTTTAAAAATTATTTTCCATTCTCCACTAAGAACTCAACAGAAACTATGGTTGCAAAAAAAGATACTCACTGTATTCTGCTACCAACAACCATCACCTTCTCTCTTTTATGCCAGTATACTTATGGCTTAGATTATTATTTCTCTACACTTACACTGTTGAATAGGAATCTACTAAGATGGAGGCAAAACATCTTTTTAAATAGGTTTCTAAATGTCTTATTGGACATGGTACCTGAGCATCTCTCTAAACTTTAAGCACATAAGGAGTCCATTGGTTTCAGTGGGATGTACATAAGAGCTTACTGACTTCAGTGGGACTCCTCATGCGCTTAATGTTAAGTATACACCTCCATAGCTTCCTGTATTTAGAATAATAGAAAGATAGGTCTGGAAAGGACCTCCAGATGTCATCTGGTCCAAACCCCCTGCTCCAAGCAGGTTCATCCCAGTCTAAACCACAGCACACAAGTGTTTATCTGGCCTATACTTAGGATGGAGATTCCACAGCCATTCTAGGTAATCTGTTCCAGTGCTTATTAGCTACAGACTAAATAGCCCCAACTGTGTCTGATCTTTCTTACAATATCATATTTTCTAGGTAATAATTTCTAATAATTGTTGTTGTTTTCCACTGGACTCTTTCCAGTTCATCCACATCTTAAAGTGCAGTTATGCTTATATAGATTACTATTTTGTTATAAGGAGTTGAATCATACATTTCTTACAGTAACTATAAAGGTAAATTTTTACTTACTAAACAGTTGGCAATAGAGGACTTGTAAACTTCTCTTCATGGTATCATCTGGTCCTGCTTGTCCACCAGTTTATTCATGATTCTGTCTAGGAAATAAAGAGAAAATTGTCTATAATTTATTGAGAGACAGACGTCAAGATTTATTATTTTCCCTTTTGGCTATGGAATCAGATTCAACAGGAGAGAACAATAATTTTAACTAAGAGAACCCGTCTGCCAATACTAGAGTTTATACTTTTTGTCCATGCTCCAGAAACAGCATATCGGTCTAGTTTATGGCAGCAATCAAAAAGGTAAATATAATACTGAGATGAATAATGAGGAACACACATCAGAAGCATTAAGAAATCAGTCCTATGTTGTGATGGTGACTTGACACATCATTGTTTGTCCATTTCATATGATTCCAACATGTTTTGCTAGACGTTCACCACTGGAACAGCAGGGCTAGGGACAGAAGTTACAAATAAGCTGGTTTAAGTGATCAGAAACTGGCCTAAACCTGTAACAGAACAGAAGCACAGTGCACATAAACCAGTTTCAAAATGGCTGAAACTGGTTTAAGATAAACCTGTTTGAATGTAGTAACAGACTTAACTGATTTAGCTCAAACGGGTCTATGCATTGCCTGTCCCAGAACCTTTGCCATTTTGGGTTAAATCAGAGTCCCCCAGCATCCTGGCATGCTCTCTGGCTGTGCTGTCTGCTTCAGAGAGCAGGGCTGGCCCCACCCCCCTGCTTCCTAGCTGAAGTAGTGAGGGCTGGCTGACAATGTGGGGTGGGGGTGAACGAGCCCAGCTAGGGATGCTTCCCAGTCTATGGTGGGGGGCTGCCCCCCCTCCAGACAAACTGTGGCTGGAGTCTGGGGCCAGGAGGAGGTGTTAAACACCCATTTCCCCCACTCAAACTTACTGTTGGCTGCAACGGTGGACTACAAATCCCAGAGGCACCTGGAAGCAGGAAAAGGAAGTGATAAGCAACCCTGCAGAGTCCTTCTGTTGTAATTCTGGACTGCAAATCTCAGAGACCTCGGAGGCAGCAGGAAGAAGTGAACACACAGACAGAGAGCCATGCTCTAGTGCCCCCAGGCTTCTAACCTGAGCCACTGCAGGCATGTGGCTGCATTTCCTGAATCAATGGTAAATATCTGTTCACTTCAGTTTCAATTTAATCTGTACAGTTTAGACTAACCTGCAAAGACTGAATCGATTCAGCCTTGGGCTTTTTGACTGTCTGTACCTAGCCCAGAAGAGAGTTTCAGATACTATAATAGAGTGTGATTCTATTTAGCACTGTAGTATCTTGACCCTGAAATCTTCAAGCTTGAGGTACAGATGTTACTTGAACAGCATGAATAGGATGAGATTTGCATCAGTTGCCCAGCTGAGATTCCCCTAGCAGACAGGAGCTCCCAAATGGAGAATATAGTAACAAAGGACTGGAAGAGGCCATTGTGCCTAGTCCCCTGGGTTTGCAGGCACTTAGTAAGTAGGGTGAATTATGGTCTTAGGTTTCCAATTTTCAACTGGTCCATAGCCAGATGTTGTAGTTTATATTAGCCCATCAGCCACTTTAAAATATGCTGGGATAGATTTGGAGAAGTCTGAGAACAATGGAGCTAAAACTCATTCCACAGCAAGTCACTCTTTCTCCAGAACTGAGCAAAACTTGATGCAGGAAAGAAGGTGGCTCGCACTCCTTTTAATTGCTAGTTAGGGAAAAAATGGGAAGGCAGGGGAGAAGTGTGGAAAATATTTAGTCACATCTCCCTCTTTCCCTCCCAGGCTGAACGCTGCTGCACACTGGCAAAGGGGATTTGAGTAATTTTTAGAGCATGCAATAAAATGCATCTAGTTGCAAACTGTATTTTAATGTACTTCCTGAGATAATTTTCAATTACAATTTACAAATGGCAACATTAAGAAATTAATCAATCACATTAATATTAATCAATCCCATTAAGTCAGAAATAAATTTACAGGATATATCGGAATAAAAAAGCAAATATGGTCCCAAAATATTATTGTGAATAAGGCCATACCAGGTATGCAAAAGCAAGAGAGCATTCAGATTCTAACAACTTAGTTTTGTAAGACAGCATTCATTAATGACTTATAATCAATCAATGGGAAATTACACAGGGAACAGTAAAGGCAGTCTCCAACACAGCACTAAATAGCACTTGATAATGTGTAATTTTCAGTTCAACCTTTTCTTAGTTTTATCCCCCAAACTACTTAAGGCATTTATGAGTTATTTCACCATGGTCCCATAAAAATCTTTTAGAGCTTATTTAACAGGCAATGATCTTGATGGTTTCAGATATACAAGCTAAGCCAATAAATAGCACTTCTCCACTGAAGAAAAGCCAATGAGTTTATAAAAACAGAAGAATCACATTTGACTTGAACATACAAGTCTCCAAGGACTGTCACTTTTATTGCCTCTGCAATGGAAGATAGAAGACCTTCTTTGTGTCATCAGCTACAACTATTCATATACACAAATGCAATGATCGATTTTGGATTCTTCCTCATTTCTTTGCTATTGGAAAATAGTCTTTGAGTAAAATGCAGAGCTATTTCCTATCATGTAGACCATGCTTTCTCTCCTAAATTAAAGTTACAATTTTGGCATTTGCTTTTATTTATTTATTTATTTTTTAATTACATCGAAAATAGGCTTATGATGATTTTGGTGAAGCCCAGTCATTTCACAAAGACCCATAAAGATGTTTATTAAAAAAACAAAACAAAACAGCAAGTAGAGGGATAGCTTTGTACAAGCAGGTGTTTTACTACAGACTTCAAGAAAAGCAACTTTAAGCCCCACAGCCCTACATCTGTACTCAGTGGGTGCATCTACATTAGATGCTAAATGCCCATTAGACATTCTACTGCACATTAAGGCGGCAGACTTAGTCTAATGCATATTAAGTGTCACAAAAATGTTTCATTTGCACTAATGCACAGTAGCACCAATTATGGCACATTTAGTACCTGTTATTACAAGTACTAAACTTAATGCGCCATAATTACAGAGCATTAATGAATGTATAGATGTGTCCACTGAAGTCAAAAGCAGGAGATCTTAGTCTTTCTGCATATGCAAACATCACACAGTATGTCATGTACAAGGTAGATAGGAACGAAAAAAGATCTGTGTTTAGCATAACAAAAATATTTGCAGAAAGAAAATCTGGATTACACAAGTTGCCTATGGATACATGTGCTTATAGATATGCCCTCTTCAGAGCTTCTGTCAAACAGAATTATAAAACACTGACCAATTTAAAGCAAAGTGGTATAAGTAAAAGAGAAAAAAGATGCAAAAAACTCAACTGCAAGCCTGAAATCAGTATAATGTGACAATTATTTGAATTGTGGTTGGCCTTTGTGATTTAATATCATATGCTTTTGACTGCCTGCTGGCATTTATTTGCATGTCTTTACTATCTCTGTTATATTTCTGTCCACAGCATTTAAGGGTTTACTGGCTGTAAATTCTACCATGGTGTGTATACTGAATTATATACTGTTGTATATGTATTCAGATTTGGGGGGGGGGGGGGGGTTCTCCTTTATTTAAATGGATTAGAATAAAGCATTCCACTCTAGGTCCTCAAAAAAAGGTTTAGTCTGAAATCTCTCACCCTAGTTTTTCTGTTGCCTTAACTTTAGAAAAATCTACATTCTCAGCAAAGCTTACACAGGATTCACAGGATTCTTTATTGCAAACAGAGTAATGCTCTATAAGTCAAATTCTGCCTTGAGTTTGCAACCCTTTACAGTTCATTGATGTCCCTGGTGAGAGTCAGGACCAAATTTGGATACATGAATGAAAAACACTGCACAGGGACACTGTAGCATTTACAATTCATTGGGCATTGGGTTTATTTAATTTATGGTGGAGAGGAAATATTCCTCTCCACCTGCCTCAGTCTTTGCTTTCAATATGTGCAGAATGTGAAAAGCACTAAATAGGGCAAAAAATCTGCAAGGAAATGGCTTTTTCTAGGTAGACTATCCTGTATGTTTGGAAGCCAAAATTATCTTGAAATTTTAGCCAGAGTACTGATGAATTTGGAAGTGGAAATGCAGCTGATTTTCCAAACAGAGTGACTGATTTAACAAGCTTTACTTATGTTAAGTAGTGTTTGTTCATAGAAGCAGTATCATTGACTGTCCAAATCAGAACCAGAAATGGGGATGGAAAGCAATATGGAGTGAAAAAATGGTTTGGTTTTACATCTGGGATCAACTTAAGCATCACGTGCAACAGCTTTGTACATGTAATACATTCCAGCATTGCAAATTGCTTTGTCCTCCTAAGCAAGTTCAGAATCTTAATTTTTTCAAAAGTGAACAGCTATGCAATTTCAAAAAGAAAATGGCATAATTGATTTAAACTTTTATTGATTGCTTAACTAAAAAAAAAAGTTTAAATACAAAAGTGACTCAAGCAGCACTGGGAAACAATGGAAAAGCAAAACAAAAAACTGATAAGAAAATATAAGCTGGAAAATTAAATGTATATAAAGACATGGATACATAGTTTTTATACACGTACACAATATATATAGACAAACACACTCAATTATTGCAAACATTGAGGTTAGTCCTTGAGTTGTGCAACCTCCAAGTTGTGAAAGTGGTATCTATGGTTAGCTGCATGGAATGCTGCAGAGGAGACCTGCAATTTGTGTGAGCATTCACGACCAATGACTTCTATTTCTACAGTCAAAAGAAAATCATCAATCAACGTCACCAACATAGCCCTGTTCCTTCTCCTAACCTGAAGACTGTTTACCAAAGGTATAGGGACATTGGCTCTAGCTAAACTGAGACCGAGAAAGCCCTCGGCAAAATTTTCTATTATTTTATCCAAAATGGGAGACAGCTCAGGTGCACTAAGCAATGTTTTCTAACACAGGGATTCTGACATGCAGTTAGATGCATAACTAGTTGGGCACATAATAGATACTGAAATCTGTACAGAGGAGGCCAGTTTCTGATCTCAGGTAGAGTCACATAAGCTTAGAGTGGTCTTAGGCTGAAGCTGAAATGAACTGATTTTAATTTTACAA